CTACTTTAAGTGAAATAAATCCACTTTTTTTGTTATCACTGGTGCTCATCGGGGCCAATTATAATTAGTGTAGAAAAAAAAAAGTGGGCATAAGGAAATATAATGACATGAAGGAGCATAACATATCTAGGATTCACTTGATTCGTCATCCCTCTCCAGCGAATACCCATCAAAGCCTATGTGCTCATAACTTAATTACAAAACACATCATAGCCGCCAAACAGCCGAGATATTTTCATGCATTACCGCAATCGCAGAAGCAGAGTCGACAGTTGTTTTTATTATAGAAAACATGCCAATTTGAGGATTGCGGAGGAGTGGAGAGAGTGGTTAGCCTCTGACAGCTTTTATTTTTTGGTTTCTTGGCAGGGTTTTAAAATCACAACTACAATGTGCCGTGTTTCTTCTTTCCAGTTCTTTCTCCCTCGTATTGTTTCTTTGTATGCGAGCGTCGCTTGTCTTTCTCAGCTTCTCTCCATCTTGCGCACACAGAGGGGAGAGAGTTCTGGCTGGAGGAGGGCGAACCGACCTTCCTCTCAATGCGAATTATGAGTGTGATCTGGTCAATTCCCCACAGAGACTACGTTTCCACTTCAAAAGAGTGGCTGTACGCACCCTGAATACTGCCAGCCTGCAGAAAAGCCATTCAGACACTCAGAGGACCTGCAATAAACCCTGAAACTAATGGCGCTCAGATGATTCCAACACAGAGTAGTGAAAGCAACCGAGCTTCTGAAAATCCAAACTGTGAGTGTCGATGACTGCTGGAATGATGGGTTGATTAAGGCATCTATCAAGCAGAAAACGCTCGCTGGTTCTAGCTTTTTAAAATGTGAGGGTCTGCTGCTCTTCTGGGTTTCTGTGAATATTTGTGGGTTTTAGGATCGAATAGAACAAGCAATGTGAAGACGTCACCTTTGGGCTCTGGGAACTTGCGGCCATTTTCCACTATTTCATAGACTATGATTATTCTACTCCTTAGTTGCAGCACCAGTGTTAATCAGCACAAATCCCAAACAGTGGAATCACGACGGGAACGACACAAAAAACGGAAAGGAAGATAGAAAGAAAGACAAACACAGAGAGAAAGACAAAGAAAGAACTAGCTACTGTCTTTAAACACTTTAAAAGACAGATTGAACGCCAAAGGCAAATTCCTGAAGTGATCGAGCGTATGGGGAGCAGAGGTCAAGGTTTAAGGTGCAAAGTTCACTGCGGCCGTTATCAATAAAGACCTCCTGCGAGCGAGGAGCTCCTTACACAAATAATTAACGAGCCTTTGAGTCATTCCATGATTTGTGCGTCAAAAAGGCCTTCCAGCACTTTCTGATTCATACTATGTTTAGAACATAAACAAGTGTGGGCTGCAGAGGAGAGAGCATGACAGGCTGAAATATGCACTGTTTTATCTGAAGCCAACTCTTAATGCTTTATACTGATCACCAGAGATATTCAGCAAAGAAAAACAAAACACAGACCTACATGTAATGACGATTTGCTGTAATTAAAAAAAAACACACAGTCTTGCTGTGTTTGTAATTGGAGCATAAATCTTTTCCCCTTCGTAGAGTTTGGTTTGGATGCTGGCAAGGGCGAGTGGTGGGAAAGTAGAGGGTGGGCACATAGAAGGCAAGCAAATTTTCTTTGATTTGCTTGAGTTAAAGGCCTCATGGGTGAGATTGGAGAGAAAAAAGGAGAAAGGAGAGGCAGAGAGAGCTGTCACTTTAAGCCATTAAGTCTCGCTATAAAACTCCTCCAATAAAAATGACAGCTGCAGCCCCCTTTTCTCAAAAGGGGAGCAAAGGCATCACATCAGGAACACAAAACTGGACGGCCGTAAAAGACAAACTTGGCCAAATGCTTTTGGCAGTGTAATTCCACCAGCCCACTCCCACCACACACACACACACACACACACACACACCCCTCCCGGCAGACACATACCCTCTCCCTGTATTACCTTTGTTCCTGAGTTACTGCCAGAAAAGGAATGTCAGTCTCTCCCCCACCACACACACACACACACACACACACACACACACACACACACACACACACACACACACACACACACACACACACACACACACACTCTTTCTCATCTCACTTTCTCATCAAAGACCATGAACTTCATTGATTTTGGGAGTCAGCGTCTGTCTGTGTGTGTGTGTGTGTGTGTGTTATGTTTGCCCAAACAGAAAGCACCACAGAGTTTAGTACCACCGGATTAAGGACAACAACACACACCTCAGACTCAATTTGCCCAGTTGTATACTAGATTTTTACATTAAACATAGCTTATAAGGTCATTTAAAGAAAAACGGTCGCCATTTTCTCACAAATTAGGTTGGAACAAAACTCTTTGGAACATTAATCAAGTAATAAAGGTGCAAATTTCACAGCATAGTGTCTGATTGCATGTCATGTCAGTTTTATTTAAACAGACCAAATTTGTCTCTGAGGGCTTTTCAATCTGAACATTAGTACAACACAACATATCCTTAGAACCTGGTTTGGATGAGGAACACTCAACAAATCAATAAAACCAACCCTGTGCGACATTCAGCAGGTGAAACTTCATTAAGGAGAACTACTTAGTTGCCGACACATTTGCCACAAAACAATCAACCATACGAAAAATCAATAAATACACCTGACTTCAAGAAAAAAAAAAGCCTTTTCACCTCAGCACTGCTGGAAAAACTCTCCTTCCTTTCACAACCACATTGTTTTATTTCACTGACAGTCATCATCAGCCTCACACTGTACTGACAAAAAAGGACACGTTCTCCTTTCAATGTCAACCCTTCAGTCTTAACAGCTTAATGTCAGATATGGGGGGGGGAGATCAGGCAGCACATCAGCATACGGTGCCAAAGGGGGATGTCGTCATCACAGCCAACAACCGATCTATAATTGTGAAATGCACTGGCTGTCATTTCAAACAGTTGCATGTCAGGATTTCTAATGCGGCACGACAGATAATTGCACCGAGTAAAGCGACTAATCGATATGTTCAAGGACTCTGCTGATAGTGGCGTCCTTGAAGTGGCCAATTAACAATCAGCGCTCAAGTGGACCTTTGATGGAGCACGTTTAAATATAAATGGGGGTGTCGGGACCAACAGATAAGGACTACAGGCGCTGAAAAAGCTGCTGATACAGCACGAGGAAGAGATGAGATCCAACACTGCTGGAGAAGTGTTCCTCCTCGTTTAAACAATTAAGTGTTGAGCCTTGAACCAACCACAGAGGCTTTCCTTCTGTGCAGCCCATATGAGCTGTCAAGTGTCTGTATGGGCTGCTTTGGTGTACATTTAGGCAGACTGAAACTTGAATCACTTTCACCATGGACACACAATACAGTGCACCTGTAAAAACAGCCTGTCAGTGTGTGCAGCTCAGGAGGTTTTAGCGTTTTTCTGGGAAGCCACATAAAGGGCATTGTGGCAACAGTGTCTGCGAGCAAGGTCTGTAACAGAAGAAAGCCGCCCGGCGTCTCAGAAGTCCCCCGTTGAATCTCCTCGGTGCATCCAGGCAGCTGATGATACGCGTCGAGGTGTAACGTGACGCCCTCATGAAAGAGCGGCAGACACAATACGAGGGCTCGCCTGCAGCTCTGAGCTGCATCTCTGCTACAGGGGACAAGGGTCTGCTCTGTTCACTTTGACAAACTTACAGTAGTGTTCAGCATTAATCATTCACAGGTGTGTGTGTGTGTGTGTGTGTGTGTGTGTGTGTGTGTGTGTGTGTGTGAGTGAGAGAGAGAGAGAGAGTGTGTGTGTTTGAACTAGAAATTAAAAGGATCCCTTATTGAAAATGAGAGAGATAAAGAGTAATGGTTTTAAAATAGAGTAAATCACGAACTAAATTATTGTTGAACTTTTTCTGGTAATTCAAACCTGTTATTATTTAAAGCTATGCCAGCTGTAAATGCTTTCTTTACTGTCTGGAAAAATAAAGCATGAAAGATGAAATGGGAAAGTTGCCACTCTCCCTCTCAAAAACTCTGTGTCAAATTCAGTTCCTCTGTAGTCTGAGAATGCTGTTCAATACTCAGAACTGACAATAATGTCCACAGATCCTAGTGCAGTAGTTATCCCACACCTGTGTCACCTGTTAGTAACCGACTGACTGTGAAATTACCTCTAATCTTTACTTGAGCACAGCTTTAAAGAGACACGCTCAGACTGTCCTTACGTTGGTTAACTTCGAGCATGGGAGGAAAGTTTAAATCCCCAATTTAACATGCTGCTTTAGGTTTATTTTCAAAACCCATTAGCAGCATATTCAAAAAAGTCACGTGAGACACAAAACAAAGCTTCAACTAAAGCCAAGAGTTACGACAACGAGAAAACACACACAGCTTCCACACACGCGACACATGGGCTAACCTAACACAGACAACACATGCTAGAGGAGTTAAAAAAAAAAAAAAAAAAAAAAGCTCCTTCAACTGTTCGTGCAATAATTTTCAACTTGTTCAGTCGCACTCGTTCACGCTCGTGGCAACCGCTGAGGCGCACGGCTTCATCTCGAGTTTGCTCTCTTCCTCGCGACGCGGATTCAAATAAAGTTTCAAGCTAAGTTAAAACCACTAGCTACATCTAATTGCAGCGCACGCGAGGTATACGCGCACAGCTCATCCCGAGCGAGGTGTCACTGTATCAAAGCGAAATGTCATCAGCTCGAGCAGCAGCATTGGATATGCAACACAGAGAGGATGTATCTGGGGGTTGTGTGAGTGGAGACGGTAAGTTCGTGTTAGTGAAAATTAAAGAAGACAGGGTCCGCTACAACCCGTCAACATGCTGACGCGTTTGGCAACTCACGCGCTGTCAAAAAGAGAAAAGGAGGCAAACCAAAAAAAAAAACACAAAAAAAAAAAAAAAAAAACAGAGCGCGAGGACACGTTTCACACTTCTCCGCCGATGAAAGTCCTATCAAACCCCTCACATTTAGAACACAGCAGGGCTTTGTCATTAAACAAATAAACTTACCCAATGACAAGAATGGTTTGGTTTCCATGTCTGTCTGGTTAGCTCATGCCAGCTGAGACGACCGCGTTTGGGAGTTTTTCCACAGGCTCGAGCGGACCGGACCAGACCAGGTCGCCGCCTCCGCTGCCGCCTCCGCTGCTGTGGTCCTCTTCAAGTAGACTCGGCCCGAAGCGGTAAAAGTGACAGGTCGGTGTCTGATAAGACTCGGAAGATAAACCTAATGTTTCTTCTACCTCTGTTTGCTCACTCAGCTGCCGCGCTCGCGCTCCTCTCCTCTCCCTCTCGTGCTCGGTGTACAACAACTCCAACTACTGGATCTGCACTGCAAAAGGGACCTGTGCAGGGGGTACTCCCACCAACGTAGGCAGAGCTGCAGCGACGCCGCCACAAAACGGGAGCCTTATCGTGAACTTTGAAAAATGAACGACGCAAAAGCAAAAGGAAAAACACACGCAGTGCGTTTCACCGTAGATATTAAAAAGTGTAAAGATTTCCCGCAGGTAGTCGTTTTTCCATATCACGCCGAGCCCCCCCTTTTTCAGCTGAGCAGCAGCTACTTCTTTCTTTCACTGCTTATCTCCTGTTGTTTTAACCTGGTCACATCTGTTGAGCCAGGGCTGTTGGCTCAGTGGATAGATGTTTCGACTGCATCTGCAATTAGCCTATATCTCTCTCTAGAAGCTACATGCACGAATAAACCGAACACAGTCACTTATACAGTAGAGTTAGGGTTTGATGGCATGTTATCCAGTCTGAATGGCTGGAGAACTATTCAATTATTTCAAACTTTTGAACTAAAAACCCAAGACTGACATTCAAAGAGCTAAAACTCAAGTTCTGACTGCATGTTTGCTATCTAGTTGAAATGTTTTGTAGGCCTACACTTTGTCCCCCTGGTCACAAAGCGATGTAAATTTGGCTTTATCGTGTCTTCAAGTAAAAGAAAAAAACAAAACACAGAACATTGCTCTTTTCTAAGATAAAAAAAATCTGACAATTCCAGATAATATAACGAACTTCTAACCAAGTTAACATCCCTAACAATGAGATATTGTGTTTATATTGGGTAAAACGACATAAATAAAAAATAAAATCCAGACCAAGGAAGTTGTGCAAGCTAAAATGTTAACAAAATCAATATATTTCTCAAAACTCCCCACTCTACATCTGCTTATGTTTACTAAATTCATACTGTAATCTGCCAACATGGCACAAAAAAAAAGAGAAGGCTATGAATTTATTGCAGATGCATCAAAGTATGGGGCAGATTCACATATAAGCCCCCCTTCGGCTATCTTTACGGCAAGCGGCGGCATGCTCAATTTGCATAACTCTCACTGCATCAGAGCAGTGCGAGATCCAGATCTCTGCCGCTGTCCTCGCTGCTACGCCTGTTCTGACCATGACAGTTTATGCCTAATTCAAGCCACATCCATCTTGTGTGCACCTCCTTCCCTTCAACACTCAATCCTGTGCACACAGCGGAGGCACATGCTTCAGGAGAGTGAAAAATGCCCCTTTCTGTGGCCCAGTTTGAAGGAGAGTACCACAGATGCAGGCTTTACATCCCCCCCCCCAACCATACTGTAAAATCCCTTATGCAGTGCATATAGGAGCAATGTAGGGTATACACACACCTCCTCCAGCCATCCTCCAGGTCCCTGCAATGAGCCTGCTCCTATTAAGCACTTGAAGGTGTTCACCACGTTTGTACTGAGGCGAGATACATAATTAATGCAATGCATGGCACATCAAAGATCAAAGGCAGTTGTGCAAAAAAAAAGAGAAAAGTTAAGTCTGACTGGGCACTGATTCAAGGTGTTTTTGTGTGTGTGTGTGTGTGTGTGTGTGAGAGAGAGAGAGAGAGAATGTGTGCGCATATTATGTGCGTAGGTGTGAGGAGAGAAAAAAATGAGTCCTGCAGATTGGCTGATTATTCCACTCAAGGCCTTGCTTTTGTGCGGATATTTCCTTCATCTGTCTTCCTAGCAAACAATTATCAATCATCAGACAGTGTCACGTTGGTACGATGATGTTAAGTGACTTAATTGACTGGGTAAATGCTCATCAGAGGGGGAGGGAGGAGCAGCGACTGGACATCCTATTCTTCCTCGGTTCAGGAGGCTATCTTGCCTCGGGCCTTGGCTGTGTAATAGAAGACAGACAACACAGCCTTTTTAAACACCTCGATCAGGCCGGGCTCTCTCATCTGCCCGCTAGTACGAGCAATTTAATCCTCAACTTGGGCCATGATTAATAGCTGTGTGACCCTTCACCTCTGTCCATATAAATTCTCTGGATGCTATTTTGGCTCTCTTCGACGGCTCACACCTCTGCTCGCGGAGGTTCTCGAGTCTCTACTCAACTCCTAATTGCGACGTCTCTTGTCTCGGTTCTATCTTTCTTGTTTTGCCGCGTCTTTTTCTCTACTCTACAAGCAACGTGTTAGGCCTCCGGGGATGGGAGCCCGCCGTTACGATACGCTCTGCTATGGTTGCTTTGACAGCTCGACCTCCTCCTCTTTCTCCCTCTCTTAAAGTGGGTGATAAATGAGACAAGGGCCTTTTGGTCTCCTTTGTACTTTGACCATTCACAACAAGCTCATCCGTAAAAGCGATTATGGCCTCTTTCAGTGGCAATGACAATGGTTTCCAGTCCCGAGGAATGTACGGATAAATATGCACTGCAATTTTTTGGATTGTTTCATTAATATAATGTCATAAAATGGTGAAAAGGGCCCATTACAATTTGCCAGTCTAAGGTAATGTCTTCAAATAGCTTGTTACGTCCAGCCAACAGTCCAAAACTATATTAACTATACAAAAGTAATCAATTTACAATGACTTAAACACAATAAAATTCTCAAAATCTTCAAATTAGAGAATCTGGAACAAGCAAAAGTGAACTTTTTGCTTGATACAATAGCCTGACATTTCTCTGTTGTTGTTTTCTTTTTATCCCACTTCAGGGTGGACATGATTGAGGGCTGAGGAAAAAGGTGTGCTCTGAGGAGCACAAAAGCATGTGATGATCTCACATGCATTAGGGCGTTTGCTGAGGTGTTCGGCATTGTCCGCCCTGAGGGAAGGTCTTGATCGTCACAGCCCCGGGTTCACATTCCTTAACCCCAGGGTCAGGGCTTTGTCTGAGGATAGCACCGAGGCGACTTCCCCTGCGGAAATCAACAAGAGCTGACACACTGAACGCTGGAGACACACACAGAGGCAGGAAGAGGGACCACCACACACACAGAAGCACACACATGGTCATAAACATGGCTATTTTGTCTAAAATCCGAGAAAACTGTAAAAAGCACCATATCAGCATATGTGCTTTTGGTGCACTGAAGAAAAAATCTCATACTTTAGATTTTTGCTGACCACTTTGAAATGCATGCTGTACAGTCGGCCTGATAATCTGAACCACTTTATTTGGTGGGAAAACTGAAACTGCATCCAAAATCAAAGAAACTAATCTCTCTCTGCGCAGGAAAACTACTGTGGGACCACATAACTACAGCAAGTATGGATGGTCAAAATTTGACCAAGAAGTCTGTCCGTAAACTGTGAGGAATGTTTGCAGTTGACAGTTGCAATAATTGTAGCATTCGCCTTCATTTTCTACAGATCCCAGTGATTAGCTTGGTGAGTGCAGTATCACTTATAGGAAAATAAAATTAAGTAGTAAAAAAATGTAATTCTTTAAAAGGTCCACTGTGTAGGATTTAGTGGCATCTAGTGGTGTAGTTGTAGATTGCACATCTCTCGCTTCACCCTCTCTTTCCAAACGCGGAGAAGAAACTACATTGGCTGTGAACTGCGAGAAAAATGCAATGGTTCTATCTTTAGCCAGTGTTTGGTTTGTCCCTTCTGGACTACTTTAGAAACATGGTGGTTCAACATGGCTCCATGGAAGTAAGATAAAAACAGTTCATTCTTAGGTAACAAAAACACAATAATTCTTATTTTCAGGTGATTATACACAAATACATGACAAATGAATAGAGACTTGATGGTTATCTTAAGTTCCAAGAGTGTGTAAACTGTTTTTTGTGCGGTACTGAAATAAATGAAATCCAATGGATGCCTGGAAAGGCAGGAAAAGAAAACAAATTTCCAAATAATTTTAAAGTAATTTGTATTTAATGGGCTCAAACCTTAAAAACACCTGGTACGGTCCACTAAAACACAATTCAATGACAGCAGCCATCTTCTAGATTACATCTGTCTTCATGGCTTCTGACATTTTTTATTCCACGAAGGAAAATATAGACCTATTAAACAAAGACATCAGAAACAATTCCTGTTTTCAAATGATGCGCCTACAGAGCACATTTCACCTCCTGTGCACAGCGCCACTTTGCTCTGCTATGTTTTCACAGACAGAGTTCATTTCATCGGAGGTGATAAGAGCTCTGTGGATATCTGCATCAAATGCAACTGATGGATGGCATGAATCCAGGCGCAGGGCCAAGAAATGGTAGTTAAAAAAAAAAAAAACGCACAATATTTTCCTAAATGATCAGAGCCCATTCCGCTCAGGGCTGTTATCAATATTGAACATTACATCAGCTGTATCACTGACTTGCCATGCTGGGTTTTTGAACGCTGCCATGGGCAGACGAGACTCCCTCAACGGGAGCAACTGAAGCTCAGGCATGCATCATTCTTTAATATCGTATTAAAGTGAAATTGGCTACATTTAAACAGACACGGCGATAAATCTCGTCAGCACTCTTGGCATAAGCTGATTTTATCTGGGAGGGGAGAATCACTGTCCCTGCAGAGCATCATCTTCTTACCTACGATTGAGTCCAGCATTATTGCACAATGATGGAGCTACTGCGCTGCTGGAGCAGACAGATTGAGAGGGTGAATTATGGCTGTGCAAAGGGTTGAAGGTGTAGTCAAACATTTCTTTTTTTTTTTAGGTCTGGAGTTGAAAGAGGACAGGTGATGTAGTTTGAAGGTTAAGCATGGACTTTGCATAACTGATTTATTTTTAATCAATAATTTGATTTTTGTTTTCAGATTATGATGAGTTTTGATTGTTTCACACCAAACATCTGTACAAATGTCAGAACTTCTGTTGAAATAATATGTTGAAATGTCCTCTGCTACCATCTAATAAGCATAAGTAAAATGTGTATACAGTGTCACCTTCAGAATGTCCTTTTCCCCTCAGTAATCCATCCAAACTGAACACTTATTTTTAGCCGGCCTGTCTCCAGTGTGATTGCTGTGTGCAGACACCTAGAATCTAGGTGCATGATCACAGTTTTTTTTATTATCAAATTCCTGCAACACCATTACATGCAAT